ATTACCCTGGTACTTTTTAGACATTTACACTTGACTGATAAAGCGCAAATTAAAAATAATATATCGATATCGATATTGAATGAATATACATGTATCGGTATATTTTTGATTTTAAAACAAATTTATATACATATACCGATACGTGTAAATTTTTTTATACAGTATCTGTAAGTATCGGTAAGTATCGGTAAATACCGGTATCTGATTTTAGTTATTTTCGTTAAAACAGGCAATTCCTGGTTTTTATTACATATTTTTAAGCACATAATCAAACTATATATTTTAGTTAAAACAGGGCAATTTCAGGTTTTTATTACAGATTTTTAAGCACATAATCAACTATATATTTTAATATAGAATTGAAGGTCTTGAAATAGATTAAGCTACGTATAGAATAATTCGTATAACTAAAATAAATCAGTCCAAATCGAATTTTTTTTTTTTTTATCGGGTACGTACGAGAAACCTTGTTAAAACAATTGAATCAAATTTCCAAAAAAGGAATAATTTATTATATATTTTTTATATGTAACATATATATTACAATAATTCATATTTAATTTAATAGTAACGGTAACGGTAATAGATTTCGACTTTTTAATTATTCAAATAAGCACCATCACATGAAGTTGGTATGGTTGGAGGACAAAAGAATGGACGATTTCTACCTGGACGCGATATTCTTATACTTCCAATTTCCATATCTTCATAAGGTGGTATATTAACATCAATATCAACTACATCATGTTCATCTCCACAATTAACAAAACTTAAATCATCACATTCTCTGGAATTTCCACAGTCATCAGATCCTTTAACGCCTTCATAATCATTACAATTACGTCTTTTTCCATGATGATTATAATCATTATGACATCCCTTTCCGCGATAACAACGCTCATAATTTCCAAGGTTATTACGTTCTTCAAAGTGACCTTGATTAATGGAGTTAGAGGATGAATCAAAGGAACGAGGTTTGTGGTGGCATGACCGATAGATGATTGTAGGTGTGATTATTGGTATGAATAAGGAGTAAAGAAATAAACAACATAAAAAATTGTAAACTTTGTGCATTGTTATGACCTAAAAAAGTAATCAAATCGAAAATACGTAATACGTATATAAAAGTGTAAAGAGATTGTAAAGAGATTAGGCGAGATAATGATTAAATGAATCGACTTAAAAGGAATCTAATTCATTTCACACATATTAAATAGATTTTTCTGAATCAATTTTTTCGTTCAAGAACAATTTATCTATCTCATAAATATATTTATTTATCAATTTATTCTTATTTATCAATTATCAATTTATTACAATTTCAATGCATCAAGTTTACGTATATGCATCATTATGAAATGATTGACTATTTTTCAAATATTGATAGACGAGTACATATGACATGTTTTTTCGAATTGGTTCTCATGCTAACCCTACTAGCCCTGCTAACCCAACTTGATATACAGCATTCTGTGCATGTGTGATATAATGCGATTCCAATAAAGAATGGTTATTTGGTGGCTTGTAATGTTAATATTTTATTCGTGATTTTAGGCTTATAAAATACATCAGTTCTAATATCGAAATGGGTAAAAAATTTTTATATAGCGATAGTGATAGATTTGAAAATGAAAATATTAACGGTAATTACCAGTAAATAATTTATTAACATGAGTCATTTCTAATAGATAGATAGAAATCTCGAAAAGTATTAGTATAGAAAAATTATCGAATGTTGAGACAAGTTTATTTCCTTTTATAGCAGTTAAAATTTTTTATTTAAAAAGATGGCTTAGCGAGAATGTTTTTATCTCGGGAACTCACTTACGTGTAAGTTCATTCTACGAACCGAATGTAGTACGCAGTATTACCCACGTGAACAATTTAAAAACTCCCAAGCCATCTTTTTTTCTTTGTTGCTCGAAAACGGTATCACTTAAATTTTAAAATTCTTATCGTTATCTATTAAAAAAAAAAAAAAATTCTGATAACAAAATTCGTGTATTTATATATGGATCAAGAGTACTCTTAAAAAACAAAAGTAAATTAAAATAACCTTAATTTTTTAATGGGTAAAAAAATCCTTAAAAAGAAAATTATTTAAAACTTATATCACAAGACTTACATAAAAAGTAAAGCTATTTTTTTATCAATCACTCCTTTTTTTTTCGCGTATCATTTTTATTTCTATATCAATTGATTTGAAGAAAAGAAAAAAAAAAATGTCTACAAGCATATTAAAAAAACTTTGGAATAAGTTATCAACAGATTATTTGTGTTTATTAAACCAACAAGAATATTGTGATGTAACTATTAAAGTTGGAACAAAATCAAATTTTCGAGTTTTTAAAGCTCATTCATTAATATTGAGAAGTAGGTCTCAATATTTTAAAAATGCTTTGTCAACTTGTTGGAATAAAAAAGATGATGATGGTTTTTTTCAAGTTGACCTATGTGAAATGAATATATCTGAAGGTGTATTTGACAAAGTTCTTATGTGAGTATTTAATTGTAATAAATATGTACAGTAAGTTTTTATATATTTTTTTTCAAAATTTATTGCTAAAAATTTTTTTATCATAATAGATATATTTACGGTGGTTGTTTACCTCTGGATGAAATTAAACCTTGCGAAAAATTACGATTAATGGTCACAGCAGATATGTTGTTGATGGATGAATTCATTGACTATCTTGAACACAACATAATTCAAACAGAAAAATATTACATCACAAAAGAAACAAATAAATTATTACTTACATCGACTCGAATACCCCGTTGCAAAAAATTATTAAATGTCTGTCAGCAATTAATGTTACGTAATCCGATAACGTTTATTCGATCTGTGGAATTTCTATCGGTATCACGTGAATACATTCAAGAATTACTTGAGTTTAATGTTCTAGGTCTCGATGAGGAATCTATTTTTGATAGTATTATTAAATGGGGTATTCATTATACCTGTGAATTTACTTGCGAATTAGACACAGTGGATATAATTGATTATGTAAAGAATTGGTCGGTCGATCAATTTGAAGCATTACGATCAACAATCAAGGATCTTATCCCTTTGATTAGATTTTTCAAGATGGATTCATGCTTTTTTAATGAGAAATTTGGTCCTTTTAAACGATTAATTGATCATGAATTATATAATCAAATAATTGAATATCATAAGAATCCAAATATTTTGTCTTTACACAAAATTTATCCATTTAGATTAAATTCAACTTTAATTTCGGAAATTCATATATCCACAATTTCTTCTTGGATTGAAATACCTGAGGATCAACGTGATCAATATTCATGTCCACCTATTATAAAGAAATTACAAGGTGATGATAACTTTAGTTCTTTACCGTTTGAATTTGATTTAATATTTCGAAGTCAGGGAAAGAGAATTTCCGATTGTTTATGGCGTCAAAAAGTTCATAATCAAGGTCCTACCTTGACGATTATTAAAACTGTTAATCAAGGAATATTTGGTGGATATAAATCGGCTAGTTGGAAAGAAAAGAAAATAACAAAAGGAAAACATAATAAAATAAAAAAAATTGAATGTGTGGATGGTGGTGATGGTTTTGTTTTTCAATGGTCTGATAATAATTCTTTTTATGATGATAAAATTGGTTGTTTAAAATTACAATGGGTACAAAAACATCTTGATTTTGATATGTTTTTGGGGGGATCTAAAATGAGTTTGGATTTTAGGTTTGGAAAAGGTTTGAGTGTTTTTAATCGTGAAACTCGTCACGATAAATTTGAAAAAAATTTGATGTATGCTATTGAAGAGGTGGAAATTTTTAAGGTTTTAAAAAAGATTTCTTAAAAAAAATTCTTTAAAAAAATTCTTAAAAAAATTCTTAAAAAAAATTCTTTAAAAAAATTCTTAAAAAAATTCTTAAAAAAAAAGTCAATACAATAAAATTCCTATTAGTGTTTATATGTTCTGGGGGCTAATTTCGTTTACGTGAAATAAATTATTTAAATAATAAACATTAAAAGGTGTGTTATGCAAGTAATTATCTATATGCACAGTGCATAGTATAATGTTGTAATGGTCGAAAAAATCAATTTATAGTACTGTATTTAAAAGACCAAATGATTATACAGCACAAAAATAATCTTATTTCTACAAGATTTCCATGACAGTTTAAAGCCGTTATCTGTGTTTCGCACATGGTTAACGAAACATCGAGTTCAATGTTAAATCAATATATTATTAATCATTTAAACCAATCTTGAAGTCGGTGTTGAATCAAAATGTTAAAATCAACGTTAATATTAACATTGACATTGGGATTAAGTGATCAACATTGAGTTAACATTGAGTTAACGTTAAATAAATAGAAGTTGCCATAAAAATTTTATCGTTAATATAATTTTGTAATTATTATACAGTAATTACTATTATTAAATTATACCGATACTATGGATTGGAATCGGTTTAGTCGACTAAAAAATTTTTATAGTAAACTACTATGTTTAGTCGACTAATTAATCGACTAAACATAGTAGTCGACTAAACCGATTCCAATCCCTAGGCCGATACGATAACGACAACCAAACATGGGAACGAGTTACATGAAATCTAGATGGCCAGTTAGATAAACGTGATTTTTTTAATTTTTAATATTTTACTGAAGGTGAAAAATTTTCCTGCAAAACCAAATCAAAGGTTGGAAGAAATTGTATTTGCTTCCACATGAATCAGATTCTGGACTTTTGTTTATTCAAGCTATTACTGTATTATAACTTTACAAATAAAATATCCAAAAAATTTTGTTATTTTTTTATTATAATTACATTATCAGATCTTTTTCCGCAATTCAACGCAATAAACCCATTCTAAATATATACTATACGTTGTTTAACAAGAATTAACTAATCCGCATATTCTGCATACGTATCAGCAATTACGCTACGTAAAATGTATCATGAAATTCTATAACCGAAAATTTATCTTTTTTAATATATAGTTTGAGTTGTATAAACCTTTCCTAATGTAACATTTGGCCATTGTCCATATGTTCAATAATATTCACAGCAATTTGTTCTTTCTCTGTAATATGAGTATTGCTATTAGGTTGTTTATAATCTAATGTTTATGTGAAAGCGGTTTTTTAAGATATGTATTTTTTTCGGTTTGAAAAGGGTAGATTCTCATACTGGATGGAGAGTAACTAATTTCAGCCATGATGTCTAATATATGATAATATAAAAGGTAGATTCAAATTGGACACCAATATTAGTTGTGATATTGTATGGTTGACACTCGTTAACTCCTTGAGTAGCTGATCCGAAATCCTATATTTGCCTTTTCGATAAATGTTATGTAAACGTTATTTTTTTCTGGCAACTCTTCGTGATCTTGGATCCTGTTTTATAGGGATGTTATCCTGCTCCAACCGGTTAGCTTGTGCTTAAAACCCGTTTGAACTCTGTTCGGAGCATATTTATATAAAAACCGATTCTTGAACTCAGTTTATATAAATGTACTAATAATTATGTTTGCATGAACAGTTTAATTAAACCTGCTATCGCTATTAATTAAATTGTTATTAAAAGTCTAAAGTTTATTACAGATCAATATTTGCTCGGTTCCAAACAGGGTCGAACTGAGTTTCGGCAAGCAGGATAACATCCCTACTGTTTTACATGATCTTCTACACTTCTCCTCCATAGTCATTACCTTGAGCAATGCTTGTACTATTTTCAAAACTTAATCACATTAGTTTTTGTAATCATACTTGCTGCAAACCAACATTATTTCATTTAATAATTAATAGTACAGAATTAAGCAATATATTATTGCTTCTTTTGTAAACTTGCTTAAAAAATATGACATCTTTGATTTTTTTTAAAAAAAAGTACTATATATAAGAGAGATAGAGGTATTGTAGACAAGATGAGTGTTATAAACAAGAAGAGTATTGTAATCAACTAGCATATCTCATGATATTGCAATCAAAATAAGATGAATTTTATATTATTCAATTCATCTTATCAAGACAACAAATTAAATAAGATGCAGTTATAGAGTAAGGTAAAGTTAGTTATATGATTGTTAAATTTGGGTATAGATTATGTTTGTATTGTGAGATACTTTAAACGATACTTGAGCTTTGGGGTTTACCAACTTCCCATTGGACAAATACAAATATCGATTTTAATCGACTACAAACTAGCACCTATTGCAGTATTGTATCAGGGTCACTATACGATTTCCGAAAGCTATTTTCTGAAAAGAACTAATTATTCCTTTCGGGAAAATGGTTTTTGAGAACCTGATTTACATTATTATATTAGTATTAAAGTAAATCTATTAGTTAGCAACTTGCAATATTGTATCATTATCAATAAAAATAAACTTGAAATATTTCAAATGTATTATTTTTTAAACAAAGTAAAAATTGCGACCTAGAATATAGTTAAGGAATTTTGAAGCAGAGTTGGGTATATTTAAAAATTACAAGCTTGTAAACGTAGGTCTCAGTAAAATTTTATTTTTTTGAGAATATATTCGTTAATGGTTTGGATTTTTTTTTCTTTTTTAAAGTGAGTGCATAAATCAAATACTTTTGCTTAATTTGCTTAATATGATTTTTTTTTTTTGTTTGGGTGGTGTGATATAGTTTATCCAATGAAGACGGGATTTCATGTACGTGTGTAAAGATTTTTTGGTTTTTTTTTTGTTGAGTGTTATAATACTGTAATTGATTGTATTATAATAAATTAAAGTATATATTTATTTATATAATTAAATTTAAGTTATAAAAATCTTCAAACCAGAAAATCTTAAAATAATTTTTGCATTGGCTCTTGGCAATGATATCGTCGCTCAAAGTTAAAATTACCATCGAATTTCTATTATAAAATCAAATGTTTTGCATCGAGAAAATTGACAAATCATGACGTAAATCGAGATCTCAATTTCGGCAAAACTTTGGCGTTAATGGATAGATTTGGACGAATTAAGTATAAAAAAATTATCCCAAAATACAGAAAATACAGCTATTGAGATGTTTAAAATTTTTTTTCTAGGAGTACTGTATTATTTTTAAGCTTATTGTTGTAATAATTTATAAAAATATTTCGAACAATATTCAGTATAGCAAATAGTACTTCAAGTTTTATTTTAAAAAATCTAAAAAAAACCGTGAAAGTTCTTGATTTCTGTTAATAGTTTTAAAAACCTTAAACGCTAATTATAAACCTTAACGTTAATTCAAAATTTTAACAATATTATTCAGGTTTTCGAGCTTCTTTAAAAAATCGGACTTTTTGTAATTTTTTAATCTAATTTACAAATCATGATTTATTATAAGTAATAAAAAACGTTAAACCATGATGCAGAAAAAAAAACTGCTTACTTGATTGTTATTTTTTGGTCCATATTTTGAATTTTTATAAATCATGAATTATTATCAAGAATAAAAAAATGGTAAACCATGATGTAGAAAGAAAAACTACTTACTTCTTTTTCTCTTTCTGCAATAATTTGATCTTTTAATGCGATATTTTTTTATACTCCATTTGATCTAACATACAAGAAATTTTACAGTATAGCGTGAATAATTACAGTATTAGTAAGTATAAATACAGTATATTTCATTAATATAATACTTCGAATTTTGTTTTTGATACTGTCTAATTGGTCAAAGATCTTATAAAAGTACCATTTATTAGTAAATTTCGTAAACAAAAAAATACTGTAATTAAAAAATGCATGTATTCAGTAATAATATTTATGGTTTTCCATTTTGAATTTTGAAAGATTTAATCTCCCACCGGATATTAATAGATATCCGGGTCCCTGCCCTAGCGCACCCAAAAAGTAATTTTGACCAATCGAATTTCTGTAACTTTTCGTAACTATTTCGTAATCCAAACTATAACGCGGTTTATTTTTAGAAAATAATACGTTTTTGATGCATTTGCATAAACATTATGAATCTGTCCGCGCGTGTTCAAATTATGCACATTCACGCGTTTGTGTAATTAGATGATCATCATATGATATGCTTTTTTGTGTAGCGTGCACATACCATTTTTGGGGGTCGTCTAAAGCGGAGCAGAATCGCATGATATACGACCAATCAAATTATAGAATTTTGATGATGAAAAAAAAAGCGAAAAACTTGAAAATACAAAAAATAGCAGTCTAAACCTACCTTGGGTAAGCTAAGTAAAAATGCCGGGATGGCAATTTTGCTTATATATAACTATCTAAAGTCTGCTCTAACCATAATCCAAGATGACCATGACTCTAAAGTTAATTCGATAAAATATATATTATAAGAATCTACTCCGCTTTAGACGTCCCCCATTTTTGGGGGTAGGCTAAAGCCAGGTACATCACGGAATTACCCGATATATAACCCGGATCCGTCCGAACAAAACAAAGCGAAATGGCAAAGACAAAAACACAAAATATATAAAAAATGGCC